TGGTCCTTGCCGGAGGAGCCCGGAGAAGCCACTGGAGGCTTTCGTTTGGAATGGGCAATCTGCTGATCTCCAGTTCGGAGGGAGGCCAGCCAGTGATGCACACAGAGGCACTCCTTCTCAGGACACAGTTCTAGGAGCCCAGCAATTGGGAAATAGAAAGTAGCCAGCCCCCTCCCATGGAGGATTGTCTCTGTGGGCTTGGGAGGGCCCTTTCCCCTCATACTGCACGCTGGCGCTGGCGGCAAGCCCTTGGCCTTGCACCAGGTGGAGCGCCTGTGTGGTTGGTAGGAGACTCTCACCCCAGATTTGGGCCTGACAGTGGGGGTGGGAATGGAGGGGAGGGCCAGGTTTGCAGCCAAGTCCCAGATTCCAGTGTCAGGCCTCACTGCAGCAGGTTTCCCGCCGTGTGCCTTTGTAAACTGGTACAAAGCAGAAGGATATGCACGGGGGCCCAGCGAGCAGGCCCATGGCTCCCTGCTCACAGCCTGCTGAAGTTCCGTGACCCCGACCAGGGGAAGGGCTCATTAGGGAAGGTTTTCAGAACGCAGACTAGCAGAGATGAATAAGATCTTGTGTTTGATCCCACAAACTGCTTCATTTGCCAGGAGAGCTAAAATAACCAGACCCGATGGCGTGCACATGTGGCGCAGTGGCTGTGTTGGGTGGGCTGACTGAAGTGGGTGGGCTGCCATGTCACTGCAGGGCCTGAGTAGTACCCAGAAGGGCAGGGTTGGAGTCTGGCCAGCTCTAGGCTGATGACCTGACTACTTCTTTTTCCTTTTTTGACTAGGGTCCTGGTCCTGGACAAAGGGGTAGTAGCTGAATTTGATTCTCCAACCAACCTCATTGCAGCTAAAGGCATCTTCTATGGGATGGCCAAAGATGCGGGACTTGCCTGAAATATATTCCTGGCATTTCCACCTGGTCTTTTCTGGAAGGGAAACGACGCACCATGTGTCTGCAGRATGAACTTGATAGCAAATGGTGGGGGCACTTGTGATATTGTGCCTCTGTTGARTACCCCGTGGAATAACCAGGCTTAATGAGGGAGGCCTGAGAGCAGAAGGGCAGGCCCGAGGTCATGGCTGGTTTGAAACAGCCCAGACTAGGTCCTGGATCTCCTGAGTCCCAATCTAGCATTATTTCCACACTGCACTGTTTTTAAACAATCATTTCTTAGGATGGCCTCCCTCCTGCCTCTCATTTTTCGTGATCTCACAGATTTTTTTAGTAAGGCTTTTTCCCCATGGAACAGAGGACTGCCAGGTCAGGCTGTCCTAGGAACTGAGTCCTGTACTCCCAGTGCTGCCTGAATCCATTGAAAATGGAGTACTGATGAAATAAAGCTATGTGCCTAGCAACATGCAACAGCAATGCCCTGGTGTCACCTTTCTCTGCCTGTCCTCGAGGTTAGGGGCTAGAGCCTTTGAGAGGAATGGGGAGAAGGATTTCATACACATCTACGTGGCTGCAGTTATCTGAAAACCTCAGGTCCAAAGCTTTTGGCTGGAAATCCTGTCTTCACAGCCAACAGGCACTGAATAATTGCCAGTAGTTACCCTGAAAAGGTGAGAAATAAAGGCCCTGAAACCTGATGGGAGGCCTCTTGGGAAAGCTACTGAGAGCACCTCAGCCCTCTGAGCTGATTGTCCACTGTCCTGAGCTGGCAAAAGAGATTGCTGGAGGTGAATTAAATTCATTGTATTTCTTTATTTAGTAGAAGTAGGGATTGAACCCAGAACCTCGCTGGGCAAGCAAGCGCCAGGCACTAGCCCAACGCYGAGCTACATCCATGGTCCTTTTGATTTTTCATTTTGAGACAAGGTCTTGTTGGATTTCCTAGGCTGGCTTCAAGTCTTCCATCTTTGTGCCCCTGCCTCTGGAGTAGTTGGGATTATAGGCATGCACCACCATGCCCAGAAAATTGACTTTTTGAGCAAGTTCATTTTCTGCAGGTCAGAGCCCACCTGCTACCAGGACTGATATTTAGGATGGATCATCTCTTGGTTGTTTTCCTCAGCTTTCTGTTCCCTTTGGTCTCCCTCTCATTTCCTATACCTTCATTCTTTGTAATGTGACTGGCTACGGGTGATGGTTGTTTTCCTTTCCCCTCCCTAAGTGGTTGCGGTAGATAGGGAGATGGCTCCTTTGATCTGGTTTTCCTGTGTGCTCTGGGTCGGCCTGTGCTGCAGAACCATTTGTTAAAGGTTAATCACATTTTTTTTGGCAGGCTGTTTCTGCCCAGGATGTTTATGAGTTTATGGAAGGCAACCTCCATCCTTGTGATAAAGCAAGTATGGAAGCACAAATGCCCAAATTATTCTGCCTCTCCTTGGTGCTAAGAAAAGGTCTCTGCTATGTTCTCTGATTTATTAGGCCAATTTGGCATGACGTCTGCTTTGTGAGGCGCTGGCTGGCCTAAACCAACAGAAAAGCAGATTCATTCAGCATCATTCTCAGCTAAAGATCTAAAGGTGTAAGGCTTTATTTCCTCTCCTGTCCTGGGAGTTTGCATCTGAGCTCACTGAGGCCCTGACAGGTGTTGACAGCCCAAAGGAGAGGCTCAGTTGTGTCAAGTAAATAGGATAATCAAAAAATGTGGTTAATAGAGGATGACCTCTATCTAGCTGGCTCAGCTCCTCCAGGGAAGTGAAGCCAGCTGCTGTGAACTGGGAGGAAAGACGCCACACAAAATATCTGCCTGCAGGTGCCACTGATGGCATGACGCTATAGCTGCAGGACGGGAGGCTCAGGTGGGGAGTGAGCCCTTCTATTTTTCCTCCAGAGTGCCAGGACACAGGGACTGTCCAGAAATTTGAACTCCTGTTATTAGAAATACAGTGCTACTTAGGAGGCCAAAATGAAAGAAAATGGGTTTGGTCAGTTAATATTTAATTTTAATAATACCTGTTATGTTTGAAGAGTAGCAATGCACAAAGAAAAGAATCCTCTGTGAATGTTTACACACAGTGTGAACACATGCTTTAAATATGCAGTGGGGAAGGAGAGAATTCACAGTTAACAAAGCTAAAAAAAAACTCTTTTGTTATAAATTACACAAAGCATATAAAAATATTTCTCTGAATGCATAGATTAAGACTTTAAACTCACCTRCCAGCAACTGTGCAGTCTAATCCCACTGCCAGAGTCACTGACCACAGAGGATTCTATGGAGAGAGAGGTCAGGGTAGGGCAGAGCCGCAAGGGATCTACCTTTTGCCTGGGACACCAAGACCCTTGCTCCCTCTGCTTCTGAGCCTGGAGAACAACTCTGTAGGCCACCTCCTAGCCAAGGGCCTCCACTGCTTCTGAGAATCTCTAATTAATCTAGGTGGCTAAAAGAGTTTTAACCCCAGTAATTTAGACATGAATTAATACTGAACCATTTCTTGAAGGATAGAACCATAGTTAATTGTATCAGTAARTTGTAACTTTTCAAAGTGAAGGAAGAGGTTAGTACATCTAGATAATGTAGTTTCTGATTGGTTGAAACACAAGGGAGGTTTCTTTAAAGCA